TAGAATCATATAAAATTCTTAGTTCTGATTGTCTGTTAATTTTTTGTTTTTTTGAATACTGTTTTAAAGAAATTTTTAGGTAATTCCCGCTAGACCGAGGAAACTTTCTACGTTTTCTCGAAGACAGAAGAGCGTCACCAGAGCTTACGGTGGTTCACGTTGCGCAAAATGCGTCTCTAACAGAATCGTCAGGGCGTTCTTGATTGAGGAGCAAAAAATAGTAACCAAGGTTCTCAAGGCACAGAAAGCAGTGAAATCGTGATGTTTGATTAATGCGTAAATAAGCGAACAATAAAGTTTGCATATAGCAGTTCATCCATAAAACAATTTGTAGCACCTGAAGTAGGTTCATTTCAAGGTTTTACTGTGTTTACTATATACTGAATACTTCAAGACACCTCGTTTAGTCGTTAAGTGAGTTTGAAACACCGGAGTTTTTATTTCATAACTTTCTGTATTGCAAGTGCAACTGTCAGGCTTTGATTCTGACGGATACTTGTGATCCTTATTCTCGTAAACTCGGATGTATCACAGCATCTTACTCACTAGGTTGATTTATGCGGCTGTTAATGCCTCGGAAACTTTGTTATGCCTTATGACGTTCTACTATGTGACCAGTGCGTTGAAAAAATAACAAAGGTATTGTAACATCAACCTTGGAAACGAAAGATGAACTATTTTATAAAATATTTTTCTTTCACTGAATTTGTCATTTGTCTCAACACTCATTGGTAATACAGACTGAAGCTTCAGTGCAAGGGGTCGTCGTTCGAAAGAGTGGATTTCTCATGCTTTCTGACCAAAAGAGGTACGCCTGCGACTGGTCATGAAGGAAACATGATGTGTCAACTGGCACAATAAACGCAAACATTGCAGGTTTCTTGACTGCAGTAGTGGTCATGTAGTACACTGCTGTGAAATGATGCCTTTCCAGCGAATGGCTGCTACAAACTTAGTGGTATAGAAGGGCTGAAATATGATTCGCATGAAAATTCAGATTCATACGAAAATATGAAGAAGCGATGTCACCGAAGACAAAAGTATGAAATACGTTCTACTGATTTATTGATCAGTAAATTATTGTCAGTGCGCGTAGTTGCTGGCCGTCTGGCAAGTCCCCAAATTACGGATAGGGGAACGACCTAAAGATATGAAGCTTAGCTGCGACAAATAGGCAGTCGTGGACAAGCAGCTGCGAGACTACCAGGGGTGGCTGTATTAGAGCTCGGCAAGGTCGTTTCTTTGACACTATCCTAATGAAAGTCTCATGATGAGGCGAAAGCGTCCCGCTCCTTTGAAGAAAAACGGCTAGTAAAGTCATTGCAGCCTTGCGCTTAGACGTCGAATCATCAGAGGCTAGACGAAACAGCTTCGATATCAAAACCGGACGGAATTTGGGGCCCATTTGTAGAAAATTCGCCAGGTGACGTTAGTGCTACATCGGGTGAGAAAACTTCATTCGTTATGGTAACACAGTGTTGCGACCGGAGCGACTACCGGTTAGTCCAGGTTATAGCAAAAAGTAATAGTGACTTTTCAAAATAAACAGGTCATAACTACAAATTCTCAGTAGATATCGTATAATTGGCCATTTGCTATAATAGACAGCAGTAAATGAAGCGGAAAAAATGAACTACGGGGAAAAAATTAATCACCAAAAGTAAGGCATTACTGTTGATAATAAATAAACACATTAGCACAGAGTGACTACTGTGTATCAAACTAGCACAAGATATTCTAAAACAAAAAAAACAAATAACAGAACGTGCTGTCACCAATAGACTAGTTTTCAGCGGCATTTGCAATCTTATTGGTCGATGCTCATCGTTAAACACGGAAATCAAAACCGGGCTAATTAATAACAATGAAAGGACGTTAATACTCAATGGGCAGGGTTAAGTGAACGGTCGATTCCCATCAACCACTCAGCGACACCTATGTAGTATACCATTTGAGCTACGCCAAACAATGGAGCAATGACGGCCATTCGACAAAGAGCACCCTTGAAAAATGCCCTTATTCCTTCCTCTTTGAAGATGCGCCTGAAAAAATCCAAAGATTAAATGTACATACTTCACAACAGAATAGAATATATACTATATTTCAAACCGTTAGAACCATGAAACTTAAACATTAGAACAGAAAGATAATTGTTTCAGTGACTTTACAGTATCATGTGATTGCCAGCCTATCTATAGATCATCTATGTTGTAGGATTTGTCAAAGAACATGGCTCAGATCCATCGCTGCCAGCAATTTCATCTTTGAATGCAGGCCAGCCTCTTGATTTTTTGTAGCATAGGTTTGGTACCATATCTAAGGTTCCCGTCGCTGAATGTGGTCAAAGAGGGAGAGAGTTAGTAACATGAACAATTTCCTTATTATGTTCATGGTCATCGCAGTCTCTCAGACTCTAATATCCTGCAAGTGTGGAATCATATTCCTTACCTGCTGACTATTCAACATTGGCCTACGACGTTCTAAACTCGTACAACCGTTTCTTAAGATGTACGAAGGAAAGCGCAAGCGAACATACAGCATTATAGCCTATCGTCTGCAATGCATTTATGCAGCTAATTAATTGTTCAGAAAATATCAAAATGATATACTTTTTAAATATCACTGTAAAAAAAGGTTTTCAATTGTTTATCTAAATGGAAACGACAACAGTACGAATAAAGCCGGTCCAATCGCATGTGTCGGACTACATGACTATGTTTACTAGTTCATTCAATAATATTTGTAATCTTCAACAAAGAAACCAAATATCTGTAGTAGAAATTCTTTTTCCCTCTAAACAATTTTGACCATAGTCATTACATAATCGAATATCTCCCTGCAAAGAATTTCGACATTCCTGAAAGTTGCCGGGGCACCATGTCTGAGCTCAAATTTGGGCAATGTAAGAAATAGAATTGAATTCAGTGCTTTTGCTTCTAATTTGGTATATGACGTCAAAGCATCTATGATTCATCTATATTGTTATATTTCTTTGTTGGCTCTGTAACATTCATTTAAGTTGCCAGTTGCATTCGAGAAGATAAATCAGAATGTAATTGGTTTATACAGGCCATCTGAATCATAGAAGATGTGGAAATAAAAATCCTTTTGCACTGTGAAGCATACATTCCTCGTGTAACCACATGGCAATCTGCTAAGAAATGCATCCGTTTTGTCTTCAATGCGTTGGTTCAGATCCAGAGACCAAGTTTCCTACAACTTTAGCTGACGAATCTGTAATATGTATAACTGGGAGTTATTTGATTAAAAGCTAAATATCACAGAGCTGTTGTTATCGGAAGAACGAACACTGCCACTTTAAAAGTAAGGCAAAAAGCTTACACAAAAGCGTTTACAATCCCACCATATGTCGTTTCGCCCTCGGCACGTCGAAGCAGCTGCAAACGGGTCTTTACCACTGTAAAAGAGTACATGACCACCAAGAAGAAAACAGCGAAGGAGTTTTAACAATCGAAATACTATCAAGTGGTGTGACACAAAAGGAAGCGAAAGCACCAGCGCCGTTGCCGGATATGAATGAGTGCCAAAACACCGCTTCGCCACTGCCGTCCTTCTTTCTTGGGCCCTAAACAATATCGCTTGCATTTAGTAGTGAGCCTTCTTGGGCATTTTAGAATCGTTGGTTAACGGAACCAATCATTATAA